TCAGACCCTGGACCGGCTGGCACCGAGGTCAGACCCTGCACCGGCTGGTACCGAGGTCAGACCCTGCACCGGCTGGCACCGGGGTCAGACCCTGGACCGGCTGGCACCGAGGTCAGACCTTGGACCGGCTGGCACCGAGGTCAGACCCTGCACCGGCTGGCACCGAGGTCAGACCCTGGACCGGCTGGCACCGAGGTCAGAGCCCGGACAGGCTGGCACTGAGGTCAGACTTAGACCGGCTGACACCGAGGTCAGACTTGGACGGGCCAGTACGGAGGTCAGACTTAGACCGGCTGCCGGCCACCACACCTGCCGCCAGTGCTGCCACCGGTACTGTGACAATGGGCGAACGATTGTGCGGGGCCACCAAAGCGCAGCTGATAATGTACACAGCAGCTAACCATTCGGTCACAGCAGAGGCGCTCAGCCACCGGTAGCTGGGGCGGCTGTGGGGAGGGGGGGGGGGGGGAGGGTGCGGCGGCACGGAGTCTGGTCACAGGCAGCTGACGCCACCGACTCCGAGGCGACGCTTGGCGCCGCGCCTGGGCGCCAGGTGGCGGGCCTCGCGTCCGGCGGGGCCACAGGCGGCTCGTGAAGGCCTTGAGCGTGGGTCTGATCACCATACTTTCCTTGAGTCGGCACTGACCGCACTGCGGCACGACGGCAGCCAACAACAGGCTCGCTGTTGATCAGCTCACCGCAAACGCTTCTGAACATCTGTCATCGATCCGCTTTGTCATATTCGATTTAGTGCTGATGCAAAGCCTATTTTGAACACAGTCGACAATCTTTAGTGCGTTTAACTGGCCAATGCGAAGTATTATCTTACCCAATTCGTGTGTATGCGACATCTTGTGTTTATCTCGCTAACTCCGAGCTGCGGCTATCCTCGTCGGTGATTCGGCCGTTCTCACGCTCGCTGACTCCCCGCGTGTGCCACTGCCTCCTGGCTACGATTATCCTCGTCGGTGACTCGGCCACCCGCGCGCTCGCTGACTCCTCGCGTGTGTTGCTGACTCCGGGCTGCGGTTATCCCCGTCGGTGACTCGGCCACCCGCGCGCTCGCTGACTCCTCGCGTGTGTTGCTGACTCCGGGTTGCGGTTATCCCGTCGGTGACTCGGCCACCCGCGTGCTCACTGACTCCTCGCGTGTGTTGCTGACTCCTGGCTGCGATTATCCCTGTCGGTGACTCGGCCACCCGCGCGCTCACTGACTCCTCGCGTGTGTTGCTGACTACTGGCTGCGATTATCCCCGTCGGTGACTCGGCCATCGCATGTTCGCTGACTCCTCGCGTGTGTTGCTGACTCCCGGCTGCGATTATCCCCGTCGGTGACTCGGCCACCCGAGCGCTCACTGACTCTTTGCGTGTGTTGCTGACTACTGGCTGCGATTATCCTCGTCAGTGACTCGGCCACCCGCGCGCTCACTGACTCCTCGCGTGTGTTGCTGACTCCTGGCTGCGATTATCCCCGTCGGTGACTCGGCCACCCGCGCGCTCGCTGACTCCTCTCGTGTGTTGCTGACTACTGGCTGCGATTATCCCCGTCGGTGACTCGGCCATCGCATGTTCGCTGACTCCTCGCGTGTGTTGCTGACTCCCGGCTGCGATTATCCCCGTCGGTGACGCGGCCATCGCATGTTCGCTGACTCCTGGCGTGGGCAGGGACCGCTGAACGCCACGCTGGCCGGCTCGACGACGACCAGCAGCGCCGAGGACGCGCTGCAGCAGCGGACCGCGCTGCGTCTCAAGTTTGTAGTCGCTGTCACCACCGCGCCCATCAACAACGTCGAACAGATCGAGGCCTCCTCCACGTACGTACGGCCCAGGGCGGAATAGCGCTGCTACTATGACTATCTGAAGACGAAACCCACTATCTGAGTGACACCTCAACATGTGCTTTCTGCTGAAGGAAACAGAGTACACACGACTGTGTATTTGTTGTCACTGGAAACAAGCCCAGTGTCTTTCCTTCAGATTGCGGAGTCAGTTGGGCTGCTTGGCTGCTTTTGGTTAGAGCCCTTTTGGCCATTCATGACTATTTCGGGGCTACGGGACGAAGGAGAGTGGATAGCGATGCGGTAGAGCTAGAAGCACGTAGGGGTCCATCCGCAAGATTTAGCCCGTGCAGACACCTCCATGCGGAAGTGTATGTTCCGCGCTCGGATGAGGACTGTGCCAGGGGCCACTTGGGCCCGTCCTGATTGGTAAATGTAGCCTGCCCCGGATGAATGGGTTGTCGTGGGGATGCAGGATTAAGCGAGGATGAGGAAAGTAGGGCGGATTACTACGGAGTGCATTTACGTACAGACGTGCTTGTGTTCTGACGCTGTTCTCCAAATGCTACCGCAAATATGGTCTTGTGGTAGGTTTAAGCCAGATATTTTGCTACAACTGGCATTGTAGCTGTGCAGATGTCGATGCCGATGGTAGCCCCACACAATCGGCATATGAGCTCTCACCACCCCACCACCTGTCGATGCCGGTGGTAGCCCCACACCATCGGCATATGAGCTCCCACCACCCCACCACCTGTCGATGACGGTGGTAGCCCCACACCATCGGCATATGAGCTCCCACCACCCCACCACCTGTCGATGCCGGTGGTAGCCCCACACCATCGGCATATGAGCTCCCCGACACCCCACCGTCTGTCGATGCCGGTGGTAGCCCCACACCATCGGCATATGAGCTCCTCGCCGCCCCACCACCCCCTCCTGTTCCTTAGGTTTGGCTACCCGCGTGCCCCGCAGCCCTCGTGTTTAGTGCGTGACCCGCAGCCCTCGTATTCAGTGTGCTCCCGACACTGTCTCACTTCTGCCCACTGCCGTGCCACCTGCCGCCTGTCGTCGGCTGACGGCCCGGCCGCGCCACCTGGCGACAGAGCCCTGCAGGTGCTCACAGCGCGCCCCGCCGAGATGTCGGCCGAGGCCACGAACCGCACGCTGGAGTTCGTCTCGGACATGACCAGCCGGCTGGACGGATTCGCCGCGGGCGACTCGGGACAGCCGCCGTCCCGGGACCAGGTGGTCGGAGCCTGCGTCGGTGCGTCCCTGGTGCCGCCGTGCCGCGGACCACGGCCGGTGCGGCGCTGGTGCCGCCGTACCGCGGACCATCGCCGGTGCGGCCGTTCGCGTGGCTGTGCGCGAGTGGTGCATAGCAACAGCGGAACTGTGGGACAGGCGCAGAACTGCGAGGCTAGCGACACTGTCGGAACGGGGTTAGAGGACTTGAGGTCATACAGTTTGCAAGCTCCGGGTCGTGTTTTAGTTCCTTGACGAGCGATTGCTAAGAATGCAAAGACATTGTCTGAAAACCTTTCACTTCCTTTCCTGTCTGCCTTTGACTCGTGCCTTCTGACTTGTACCTCCTCGCACTCCTTTTACATGCCCTTTGTTTTGTACCTCCTTGCATTCCCTTTTGATGCCCTTTGCCTGCTTGCATTCCCTTTTTGCTGCGCCTTGTTTTGTACCTCCTTGCATTCCCTTTCCCCTGTCCCTTGTCTTATTTGGCGATCTCTTCCTCTCCCTTTCTCCCTCCCTCTTTCTACTCCTCTTTCCTGTCCAATTCCTCTGCCCCTCTTTTCTTGACGCGACTGACTTGAGGTCGACCTTCGCGCCCCAGGCATTCTCGTGGTCATCGGGAACGTGCTGCAGGCCGCACCGCACCTGAACAGCGAGCCCTCACCTGCTGGCGTCCTCACCACCGAGGCCGACTTGGTGACGCAGATGACGCTAGAGCAGCGCAGCGCCAAGCGCATCCTTACAATCAAGGTAAGGCGCGGCCAGGGTCAGCACCACTAGCCCTGACGCTGGTCAGTGCCGCCAGCTGCGGCCCGGGTCAGTACCGCCAGCTGCGGCCCAGGTCAGCACCACTAGCCCTGACGCTGGTCAGCGCCGCCAGCTGCGGCCCGGGTCAGTACCGCCAGCTGCGGCCCAGGTCAGCACAGCCAGCTGCGGCCAGGATCAGTACCGCCAGCTGCGGCCCGGGTCAGTACCGCCAGCTGAGGCCCAGGTCAGCACCGCCAGCTGCGGCCCAGGTCAGCACCGCCAGCCGAGGCCCAGGTCAGCACCGCCAGCCGAGGCTCAGGTCAGCACCGCCAGCCGCGGTCTGGGTCAGTGCCGCCAGCCGAGGCCTGGGTCAGCACCGCCAGCCGCGGTCGGGGTCAGTGCCGCCAGCCGAGGCCCGAATCGGTACCGCCAGCTGCGGCCCAGGTCAGCACCGCCAGCTGCGGCCCAGGTCAGCTCCGCCAGCTGCAGCCTGGGTCAGTACCACCAGCTGCGGCCCAGGTCAGCACCGCCAGCTGCGGCCCGGGTCAGCACCGGCAGTCCTGACCCGGGTCAGCACCGCCAGATGCGGCCCGGGTCAACACCGCCAGCGGCGGCCTGGGTCAGCACCACCAGTCCTGACCCGGGTCAGCACCGCCAGCTGCGGCCCGGGTCAGCACGGCCAGCCGCGGTCTGGGTCAGCACCACCAGTCCTGACCCGGGTCAGCACCGCCAGCCGCAGCTCGTGCGCTGGCCGCACCCGCTGACATGGCGTTGAGTGCAAAAATGCTTCGTTTCTATGATTTTTACTGTTGAGGGCGCAGTTCTCGCAAACACACTGGTTCAATGAGACTGTTAAAATGAATGGATATATGCGTATCGTTTGTTTCTTTAACCGCAAGCATAATCGATGTTGTTTGGGCTATGACAAGCGGCGTCGGCTCTATGTGAGCCTAAGTCAGTAAAACTAGGCGCAAGTGCATGAAATGCATGTCTATGAAACAGTCCTAACACGTCGGAGTCGGTCATCGCACCAATTTTCAACAGTAGCCACCATTTACTTACCCTCGTCCTCAGATGGACAACATAGTGAAGGAGCTGAGCAACAGTGTGCTGAAGACGATGCCTCCCGGATCGCCGCCCGTCCATGTACAGGCGATCGGCGTAAGTCTCATCTGCCAGCGCAGCCTGCCCGAGAACATGGACAACACATCGTTGGCATCGGACGGGGGCTCGATGACCCTCTCTAGCGCCGAGGAGATGCTGGGCAGCATCTCCTTCTCAAGCTTCGTCGATATCAAGGTTAGCCGCCCCGGACGAGCCCGCGACAAGATTAGCTAGATCTGAACTGTCGCGGTCATGGTCGATTAGTGGCTGGGGAGAAAATGGACGTCGGCTGATGATGTTACGGCCTATTCACGACGCATGTAGCTGCTCGCAGTATCAGCATCACCACCATCTGGCGGCGATTGTACGACAGCAGACAAGAGTGGGGGAACGGCGGGGTGAAGGTCATACAAGTGCGAAGGTCATCATTGGTCACATATCTTGACGCTATCGAACGACATTGCGACATTACTAGTTAGATGTTTGATAACACTCTGATCTGATCGCTCTGATCGTTTGTGAACAAGATCGAAGCGTCAACTAAAGCATGTTACTAGCTAGCGCATGGAGTCGAACTCATCTGGCGTCATGTTAGGGCGCAGTGCTGTCGTTGACTGCGTCGTTATGTCGGCTTATTGCTTAGTTGATTGACTATGGTCGCCAGAATTGCAAACACCTTAACGTCTGCCACCGTCACGCACCATTATCCATTACCAGAGAGCATTCATTTGTTGAGAGATACATTGTCCACCATCATCACGTTGTCGCTCCCCAGGCGACGTCTCAGCAAGAAAATCCGTACACTTGGGACATTTCGGCTCAGTTCATCGCTTCTTCGGTGATGTCGCTGACGCTCAGTGAGGGAGGTGGCTCAGAGATTGAGGTGAGCAATGCCTGTTATCAGTACCACCAACTGGGGGCCTGGCGTGCTTCGCATGTCTCAGAGATCGATGTAAACGATGCATGTTGTCAGTACCACCAACAGGGGTCTTGCGCTCTCAGAGATCGAGTTGAGCAATGCATCAATAGCCTGCCATCAATACCACCAACTGGGGCCTAGTGTGCTTCGGATATACAGGTCTTAACAGAACGCGGACCCATGTTTATCTATGTTCAGTGGTTGGTTCCATATGACACGTTCATGTCTGAAAATGAGACTAAAGCCTTTGCACATAAGATGTTAGTCACGCATTTGTGTAAGATCATACAATACATTGTATTTTTTCGACAAGCGAAACGACTTTTTGCATTGGAAGAAAGTTCGCGGTTGTTTCTTTTTGTACTTCCTCAACGGATAGACATGTTGAGCGGAGGTGCCCGAGATCCGTGCCAAGAAGCTGAGTAGCGACTGAAGACGCTACGCCGCGCCAGCACTTGAAGGGATGTCTTCCGAGCAGTCCCTCTACACGTCCCAGTATTGGCGTCACCAGCAATCGGAGAGCCTTGTGACTGATGTCAGCTTAGAGGGACAATTCCCAGTATCGATGCATGGATTAATTCATTACACATTCACCACATATCATATCAAAGATGATCCCAGTCGGCATTAATTCTGGAAATCGGTGCATCTCCGAATCGCTGTAATTATCGCCAACGCTTCGGCACTTGGAGCTCTGAAATCATTCAACCAATGTTCGTGCTTTGACCGTTTTATGTCCATTTGTACGTCTCCTCATATCTCAGCTCAAATGCACAGTAATTATCGCCTGTTAAGTGCTAATTTATTGCCCTGCTTCCCTTTTAATCCACGCTGTGTGAGATCGTCTGATTCCTTCACTATCTCAGGTGGACGGCCTTCGGGATCCCATTGGGATTCGCATGAATTTGGGTGAGCGAAGTCGGCCGCGCCGCCGCGTTGTCCGGCCCTATAGCAATGGCGACAGCAACTACGAGACGGTACACTTCGTCAACGTCACCAGCAACGACAGCAGCATTCTCTTCCAGATGAAGTACGCTGACCAGACCTTAAGTCCTTGCTTACTGCAAATAGACACGTGCACAAGAATGCGTACCGCATGAGTGGCGTTGTCTCTGGCAATGTTTGACGCTCGCCGGTCTGGCAATGGCTGTTGATTGCTCGAATTCATTGTGCATTACCTTGATCGAAAGTGTGAGTGCGTTGACCGGACGCCATCAATATCGAAGCTAAACCAGATGATGTCGATCAGTGCCAGAGTCACTGGGCAAACCGAGCTCCACCGCCTCCGCGTCCATTCCCGCGCGCACCCATGCGGATCGACTGACACGGCGCCGGTGACCGGACAGCGCCACGGACAGCGACGCCGTCTTCTCCGTGTGGGTAGCGAGGGGCCGCCGTGCGTCCCCCACCGACTACGACTTCCTCTTCACGGTCCCGCACCCGCCGCTCGACGACACCTGGTACCTGGACGACATGGAGCGCCGGGTACGGACGCCGACTGGGAGCTGACCTGCTCCGGTTCAGCCACCGAGCTCATCCGTTCCTCTGTCGCGCCGCTCAGAACATCAGAACGGGGTTGTGCTTGTTGACTGGTATTGCGTTGGACGTTCCGAGCCGACCCCATTTCGGGACCGAGTGCAGTTCATCTTGGGTTTGCTGTACACGCCCACACACACTTAAAATAAGTTTGGCCACGTCTTTCCAAACCGAGATTTATGTTTTATACTCAATTGTGCCGGCCCCTAATATGACGTAGTCAGGTGAGGCTAGCAATCTCGTAAGTTTTGCAGTGCTGCAATATCTTTAAAAATGTATATTTCCCTGTTCAGAAAGTGGAAAACGAGCTGGCGAATGCGGGCGAGGGACTTGCGGACGAGCTCAGCCACTCGGTCTTCATCAGCAACGACGCCGTGCGCATGCTGGGACTGGGACAGTGGACCCTCGTCGTCAAGCAACAGGGTATTGTTGATGCCGTTCGACACGGTTGTAACCTGGTTTGTGTGGGTGCGTAGTTACGCAGGCAAGACCAATGCAAGGTGCGTCAGCTGGCGATGCAGAACCGATCACCTGCGCGCGCCGATACCGTCAGATTGCGACGTCGGTAACATGAGTACACTCACATAGAGCGTGCCGACAATTTGTGCGACGAGGTTACTATTGCGCCAAACCAACAAGTAGGACAATGAGTTTTGCGAACGGATTGGTCAGGTGAGCAAAAGAACGCAGAAACATCACCTAAATACTCATACTCTGCCGTCTACTCATACGTTGTTTGAGCATGCATACTCTTCTGTGGCGGATCTGACGTCTATTTAGTTTTTGGCTGACAAGTTAAACCCTTGGCTGATATGGCATACTCCCCGCCATAAGGTTTGTGTGCCGCTCTGCCGTTCACTGCTACAGTAAAGTGGCGATTGCCCGGGTGGCTCCTTCGGTGCGACAGCGATGGTATCGAGCGATGTCCCAAGCGTTCCTCCGCTGCTAAGGCGCGCGCTTTCGCCCCCGTTCCTCCGCTGGTGAGGCGCGCGGCTGTCACCACAGCTCCTCCGCTGCGACAGTGAACGAGTCGGAGATCGTCGTGCCGGAGGTCACGACGCGAGCGTACGACTACCAGAAGCGTACCACGCCCAGTCCGTGGCAGTACGCCCAGCTACACCCCTACTCCATGTGGCTGACAACGGTGGCTTGCCTCTACTGGGAGGACACGCTGAACGAGTGGACGACGCGTGGGTGCAAGGTGAGCCTACTCACGCCAGTGATCTAGAAGGCTGAAAGGTCTACTGATAAGATTTCTCCGGGGATCTAGGCTAATCTTGGAAGCTCGAGAAGATCATGCAAGGTTGTGGACATCTGCGTGTAATTTTTAAGAAACAGCCAATCGCTATTTAGCCTATTGTCGCGACGACGAACTCAGTGATTCTTCTGAGAGCTATCAAAATGACGGCTTCCGCGGTGAACAGAATACATCGGTACCTACCACCACGTGGCCGATCGGCTGCTGCATGTTACCCGGCCACCGTCCGTCTGTCTCCGTAGGTCACCCCGGCCTCCAATAGCCGCTATGTGCATTGCGTGTGCACCCACCTGACGTCGTTCGGCGCCGACTTCGCCGTGCCGCCCAACACCATCGACTTCGCTGCCGCCTACTCCAACCTGGACGCCAAACTGCGCGACAACTTTGCCGTGCTCGTCTTTGTCTGCTCTTGTCTGCTCATCTATATAGTGGTCGTGGTGTGGGCGCGAAGGAAGGACCGACAGGACGTAGAGAAGGTATGGTTGGTTTCATCGCAAATGTCACACAGCTAGGATTCGTGAAAGGCTATGTGAATATTTTTCGCCGTGGGACGGTTTCCAGGCCTAGGTGTGTTCACCCGTATCCGTTTTTCTGTCCGTTTTTCTGTCCGCGACCGTTTTTGTCCTCTGCGAAGTATCCTTCGCGCATTTGTTGAAAATAAAATGTAATATAAGATAAGATGCAAATCAGCTTTGTTAAGCTTACCGAATTTGCTTTGAACTATATGTGCACAACGTAATGTTTGTACTTTCATTGCTACCGGAATATTTCTTACAGGGATAAGAAAATACACGTGCATGCGTATTTTTTCATCCCGCCTCAAACGCGCGTGGTTCGGGGTCGTCGGCTGACAAGCATCCTCCGCCACTCAACAAGACTACGGTCCGCCGTGCTACCCCTGTTGCCCGTACTCTTCCCGCAGTGGGGCGTCGGGACTACCGTACACCGTGCTACCCCTGTTACCCATGCTCTTCCCGCAGTGGGGCGTCACGCCGCTCAGCGATAACGTGGCCGAGGAGCGCTACCTGTACCAGGTGACCGTGTTCACGGGCATGCGCTCGTCGGCGGGTACGCGCTCTCGGGTCAGCCTGGTGGCCAGCGGCGACCTAGACGACACCGGGGTGCGCCGGCTCACCGACGGCAAAACCAAGGTGCGTCGTCCTGTCTCCTCCATATCCTGTAGTAGCGGGCCGAACGGTCGGGACTTAAGTGATTGTAACGAAGGAAAGTTGATTAGGTGGTTGCTATTTTACTTGTGACGGGCCATCACATAGGGTTTGTCAGATCACTGGCGAGGCTTGTGCATGGATGATGCTGCGCCACCGGTGGATGGGGGACATCGTGGGCTTCCGTGCGATCTCACTTGGCCGCACTAGCTCTGGACGGCACTGTGTGAGCCTGTCACCTGAACGGCCGAGCACTGGACGACGCAAGCCATGCCGGTGCCGTCTTCTTCACCGCGCACTGTATCGGGGGACAGGAGCTGGGCCGCGGCTCGGTGGAACACTTCCTGATGACCACCGCCGGCCCGCTCGGCCACCTCGACTACATTCGCATCTGGCACGACAACTCGGGCGGCGGCCGTCATGCGGGCTGGTACCTGGACAAGGTGGTCATCAAGGACCTGCAGACGGAGCTTGTGTGAGTGGCGGCGCCGGGCGGCGTGGCTGTTGCGTCATGGCGTGTGAGGAGGAAGACTTCCCAATGTGGGGAGAACAAAATGCCCCAAAAAGTGTTGTTCTGCGACAAGCGCTCGCGTGTGAACACGAATACCCGTAGGACGATAGAGGCAAATGTTGCATGGGCGTACCGGTTTTTGAGTCGAGAAAAGTTGAACGTCTCGCAGTTTGCTCTCGTTCGTGAGGCGGTAAAGAAATAAAATCACGTGCAAGCATGCCGCTCTGACGTATAGTCGTTACCCCAGGTCATTTTTCGTGTGCGAGCGATGGCTGGCCGTTGATGAGGACGATGGCATGATTGAGAGGATGGTTCCGCGATCAGGAACCGAAGAAATCACATCGTTCTCCCAGCTTGTTCTCCAGCACAACCAAGAAGAACCTTACCGATGGACACTTATGGCAAGTCATAACTTGTGCTTTTTTAGTACAGGCCTATTCGCTTTTCATCGCATGCACTTATCTTCACGCACATGCAGTAATCAAATCTAAATGCTCCACTCTGATAATGCTCAAGTTTTGCACCGGGTTGAGGCTGGCTGGGTGCTATGCTTCTAAAAGTTGTTTTAGGTAATTGTGTACCAAAATTCCTCAGAGGTTAATGCATTGCTGACCCTGATGTCTCCGCCGTTACCTGTTGATTGCGCCTGCGCGATCACACTGCCTGACAGTGCTCTGTCACTGGTGATGATGTCAACATGACCACCCATTGGCAGGGTGTCGATATTCGTACGGCCTCAGCGCTCCAACTATACGCGGGTGCAGCGGCTCTCTGTGGTCATGGCTCTCCTGTTCCTCACCATGTGTGTCAACGCCATGTTCTACAAAACGGAGCCGGCCACCAGCAAGACGCTGGATCTGGGCTTCTTCAAAGTCACTACCTTCCAGATCTGGGTGAGAGTTTTAGCCGCAAAGTCTGGTGATAACTAATCAAGTTACCCATCTCTGAAGGAAGCGGTCCCGTTTTTAAATGAGAGTATTCAAGCTGTTTGCATGGATGGCTCTGGGTTCGGCGTACTTGCTAAACAAGTAAGGCTGCGTGCGCCCTGTGCCCATCTCCGAGTGCCGCCCAGGTCAGCGGGATATCACTACGTCCGCTTCCGCGCTGATCAGGACTGGGAAGAGTTTTACGCGTCGCTCAATGCTGTGGCACGACAGCCCGGGACATACTTCGACCCTTGTTGGCCAGTTACCAGCTAACCTTTCTGTGTCAATCGGAACAAACAATGCATCCGTTCTAGAGCTCGCGCCTAGCGACGCTGTATGACGAGTAAAGGATCGCTCCCCAGACCAGGGAGCAGCGAGCAAATAACTGATGTTGCATCCGCGAAACCTTACTCGCTTGTAAGCTGGTGACAAATATCAGCCGCACCCCACCAAACTTGGCAGTGTCCTCGAATTCAAGCGTTGTGATTACAGAATCATATTGAGACAGAAGTTATGGACTAAATCGTTAAAATGAAAAAGTTTGCGCCGCGCCTGCGCCAAACCCAGAAGCCTACCACGGCCCAACGTCCCTGTACATATCCCCAGGTGTCTCTGATCGGCTCTCTGATCGTCATACCGCCCTCACTCATCATCGACAAGATCTTCCGTATGTCGCGGCCGCGGCGCACTGCCGCCGAGCGCCAAGCCGAGGAGCAGCTGCAGCGCGTGCGCAGCACCTTCGGCAGCGCGCGCGTCCCCAAGCGGAAGCGCTCGCTGCCGCACTGGTGCGTTTACATAGGCTGGCTGCTAGTGCTGGGAGCGGCCGGGACCTCCGCCTTCATGGTCTTCTCCTACAGGTGGGTGGCTCGCGCCGGACGGCTCATAGCAAGCGTACGGTGAATGACGGTGCGTGTGAAGGTAGGCAGGGGGTCAGGAAATTGGAGGACGATAGTCCAACACAGGAGAGGCATGCGAGTAGTTCACCCTGGCCTGAGCTGTACGTCATCTCTCGGTGTCGACACAGACAGTGATAAACTGGTAACAGCATAGAAAGATCGGGATTGACAAGAGGCACGTTAAATCAACACCTCGTGGGGCTGATGCTGCTAGTGGTGGACGAGGAACATGTTCGCTTATCGTCACTTGCACAATAGCGCAGTTTGAATGAACCATATGAAGCTATTAGTTGGCCAAAATTTTGGAGGTTATTGTATCGGCCGCTGGCCAAATTTGTATGGCATTCAGGCCCCTCGAACGTCACGCAGTTCTGATGTAAATGTGTTTATGTTGGGTTGTGACGTGACAGCTCTGCTCAGTTACCAGTTACCATTATGGACTAACACCACATTGTTTTGTGCGAAGCCGGTTGGTCAAAACAGCATCCATGCCGAACGCATACTTCTAGCCATGAATATGACAGCCTGACATCTTAAAAAGAGTTGCAAGCTGCAACTCCTATGGTCTCACGTCATGCAGATACTTCTGTTCGTCGACGTTTGGGTGCATTATCAGCACGCAAATCGCGAAGTCGGTTTCAAAGTTTAATTGGAGGCTTAATTTCCAAGCGGTTCGTTTGAAAGACACTTCTTGTTACACATTGATAGTGCGGTACGAAAATATGTTCAGTTTCGTGCTGTTACTGTAGTTTTCAAAGTAAGTGGGGGATTGCAAACTTCATCTAAACGCCTATTCTAATCCCTAGGTTTAGAAACGTGCTTAAGGTAGTGCTGTACGACACAAAATACTTGTAGGTGAAGTACACATGCAATGCACTTTAAGTAACTGGTATGATATAGCTGTAGTATAGTAGTAACATATAGCACATCATACGGTCGCATGTAGGTACCTCTTTTATGTCTATGACAGTATCCATTGTTTCATCCAAACTCTCCTCGATAAAAAGTGTGCATTCCAAGCACTCGCTCTAAAATTATATCACGCAATTTGAACTCCCAAGACGATGACCGCTGATATACGCCCTGTGAGCACGGCTGTTGTCCGGATGCTATTGTTGCTCGCCTGGCGCGGCTGGCCGTCACACGGACAGCTCCACTACATCGGCCGTGCTCCATGTCCCGCAGCTTGCAGTGGGGGAAGGAGAAGTCGCTGAGCTGGCTCAAAGCCATGCTTCTGTCGGTGGCGCAGTCGGTCTTCCTCATCCAGCCAGTCAAGGTGTTCGCCGTGGCACTGGTGTTCAGCATCCTCTGCAAGAAGCCGGACACGGAGGCGGTGGACGACGACAGTGCGCTGGAGAACGCACTGCCCGCCGACGATGAGGAAATGGTGGCCGACCGGCCACGCTCAGGTGCGCCTCTGCACGTGGCCTGGCCCGGGCTGTAACCTCCCCCACGGGCAGGCCTGGTGAGGTCGGAGTCGGGCGGCCATTGGCTCAATCAGACCTTGGTCGTTCTCGCTTAGATGCTTGGATTAACCTAAGACGCTTATGAGACGGCCGATTGTAGTCCTGCAATGGTGATTTTACCCGACGTTGGGACTTCATGTGGCGGGTAAAGAGACTAGTTGAGACAAGTGGCATTATTGTGACATCACATACTCAATATTGTATCCTATGACAAATTTGTAATTCGCAGGGAGGCGCACGAAACTTGCAGCTGTTCCCATCGATCACGAAGCGCTGGCCAAAGCTCGTCAGAAACGCCTGGAGGAGAAGGAAATGCTGCTCCTGATGAAGCAGATGTGCACGTTTATGCTGTTTCTGTTGTTTCTGCTCTTCCTGGCTCAGCAGAATAGAAACCCAAATGCATTTTTGGTGAACAATAATCTGAAGAATATGCTTGTAGACAGCAAATTTTCAACGGTAGGTCCACTGTGGTTTTGTCACATTTGACGTCAAGGGAATAACACGCTTTGTAACCGAAAGGATTCCCAGACATTGCCAGATATATGCTCATGGTTTGACTGCTTCCCTACCTATCTGCGAAGCAGATCTGCAGCTTGTTCTAAAACACAATGTAAAACGATACCATATTTGCCAAAAGTAGTTGGACATAACCGGCGCTGACACCACACCATCCAAAACGCGCGCCAGGCGCCAGCCCGCGCTGAAATCTCCGCAGTTACATCGGACGGTGCCGCGCTCCCGCCAGATTCGTCTGCCGCGTCACCTCTTCAGCTGGCTGAAGGCAACATACTTGGGCGCCGTGTTCTGGGACGGTCACTACAACGGCGCGCCGCTGCTGCCGGCCGACCGGCCCTTCATGTCCGACATGGTCACCCTGCGACTGGGCCCGGCCCGGGTCCGCCAAGTCCGAATCAAGCCAGGTCAGAGGCCCGCGCTGTCACGTGGGGCTGGGGTGTCCATATTGGTCCGGGAAGGGCTGTGTCATCGACTTAACCCAATAGTGTTAGGTTCGGATAAACCCGCTCTCGTCGTCTCATACTCGTCGCAGCCGTATGCCAAGCTCATAGCATGCGCTAGAGGGGTACGAATCACGTTTATTTTAGAGCTTTTATCCTAACCTTTTGGATGGATGGATCTCTGGGATCGGAGCTCACGCTGGGTAGTGTTTGTTGCGCCAGGACCGACCCCTCCCGTCCGATCGCGCAATTTCAGGTCAACGGCAGAACTCGGTAGCGAAAGTTTAGCGTGCTGCAATGGTCGGCACGGTTCGTGCTGCCCTCTGACATCACCTGACCTTTAGCGCAGCCGCTGCCACGGGCCCCAGGCCGTAGCTGTCAAGGTCAAACAGCGAGCGCCTAAAGCGACTCGAACCCATCCCGCTACAGATGGGCGGGTTGGAAGGCAGACGCTCCAACCAACTGATCCATCGGGATAGACGTCAGGCGCTAACGTTGTCCAAAAGTGCGGATGGCTTTGCATTTTCCATTTGGGTCGGTGAGAAAGCCTTTGAAGAGTGGGATGGACCCTCCAAAGAGGCACTAAACTCCGCACATGCCGAAGCTGGGGATTGCACTGACGCCTCCAGAAAACGTGTAAAATCTTGTCCGATAGAGCATAACCATCGCGTCACTTCCTGACTAACTGTATTTACGGGTAGCCTCCTAATTGATCAGTTTCTAAGCATTTCTTACTTTCATCGGAAAAAATCCAAGCTTGTCCATTAGATACGAGTAAACTAGTCTATCCACATTATCTGTCATTTAGATCCAGGACTATTCCGTATACCATATAAGTAACCAAGATAGTTCACGCCCCCTAAGCCACACAAACCAGCTTATGTCTGAACAGGAGTGTATCCTCCATTTACATTATGGACCAACGAGCTAGTGTCTGAACATAACCGCATCCGCAAGTGGATCCGCAGACAGTGGGCCAACCAGCCAATGTCTGGACAGGCCATGTATGACGGGATCAGTCCGCGTGTGCGATCCGAGCATCAGACATGGAGCTCATGCGGATGATTTCATCACAGTCGCATTTGATGCGATGTGCTACCCACCATTCCAGGCGTGCCGCCGGAATGTGATTGGATCCACAGCGATGCCGATCTAGTTGAAAACAGACTCCGCTGCCATACTTTTCAGATCAATGCAGGGTTCCCGCAATACTCAGGAGCATCCATGATGAATGTAACATTGAGTATTCGTGGACGAAGGAGGATAAAAGTGCCTACAATACGTCTTGGGCACCGATGAATGTCTCGTCCGAGGAGGAGCTTAACCAGATGCAGTCGCCGTGGGTGTATAAATCCATGATGGATTTGGATGGTAAGGAACAGTAAAGAACAAAGTGGGCTCTTCTTTGAAGGCCCTTCAGCGCTTGGTTTCAAATTTATATCTCATCTCTTTGCGTTTGTTTGTGCATGCACAACGTTGATCTCACTGATTGCTTCGTTATAAGTGTCCCAATGGCTCTCTTTGTACTTACATTGCCTTCTCAATTTGCCGCTGTTGCTCATAGGTAAGCGACTATTGAGCCAGCAGGCCATTGCGGAGCTCCTACCCTGAGCTCTGCCCCCCCCCCCCCCCGCCAGGCGCCCCCCACTGGGGCCAGCTCAGCACATACAACGGCGGCGGCTTCCACATGGATCTTCTGGGGTCGGGCCAGCAGACCCTCCAGCTCTTCATGGACCTGGAGGAGCGAGGCTGGATCGACAAGTTCACCCGAGCCGTGTTTATCGAGTTCACTGTAGTCAACGTCTATGTCAACCTCTTCAGCCGCATCTCGCTGGTGGTGGAGTTCAGCAACTCGGGGAACACCATCACTTCTCACACCATCACCACCTTCCAGCTGTACAAGTAGGTTTCGAAGGATCGCGGTGACCCAGAACAGGCAGCGCATCCTTGCATTCAGACTGTCGCAAAGTTATTGCAAAGCACCATGTTCATCTTATCCATAAGTGCAATCTTTTTCATGCAGAGCGTTGGGTAACGTCAGATGTGCTTCTTTTACAGCTACGTGGGCCCTGACGCCATCTGGATTATGACCTGCGAGGCCATCGTAGTATTGTTCATCATATTTTTCTTCGTCACAGAAATCAAGAAACTCCGTAAGGTGGGTTCAGGTTGAATCCGAAATGGGGTGCTACCCCATGCCCTTTGTCCTCTGATGTTTCTCTAGGATGTCAAGGATCTTCTAGGAGAGAATCTGAGGATGCCCACAAATTCCTTACCCGGCTTTGAACCAAAGTTTTCGGTGTATGTGACATAAGATTGTGCTCGCTGTTTCAGCAAAAGATGAAATATTTTTCGGAGTTCTGGAACACTATGGAATTCATCAAGATCATCTTGGCAATAACCAGCATTGCTATGTACGCTATGAAGAACATATATGTACACGTGGCACTTGGAAATCTAGCCGAAAAGCAAGGTAAGAGTCGGGTAAATTGTCAGCTCACGTGGCTGATGCTGACGAGCACCTTCACATGTCCATAAATTGTGGCTGTGCAGTTGATTGCCGTAAGGACTGTTGAGGTCTTCATCATTTGATATAACCTCCGTGGTGCCGCGCAAACCTGCTTTTTGCTGTATTCTGTATGATCCAACATAACTTTACATTTGCGCCTAATGTAGGGACATATGGGACTCCGACACCAGTAGCCAGGCAATCACGGGGAGCAATCGCAAACAATATTGGCAAACGCGTCATTGTTTTAACATCCATTGAAACATGGCTCCGGAACTTGGGCAGTCATATTCGATCACATTGCCTTTCATGCGACTTACGCAACTCACAATATGCACAAGTAACACAATTATGCTAAAGCAGCACGAAGAGGACCAATCAAACGTAGGCCAACAGCGCAATCACCATAAACACGCATGCTCACTTTCAGGCGAGTTTATCAACATGCAGCGCATGGCCGCATGGAACGAGACATTCGTGTTCTTGGTGGCGTTCGTGTGCTTCACCTCGATCCTGGAGGTGCTACATCTGCTGCGCTTCAACGCGAAGATGTCCATGCTGGCCCTGACGCTGCGCCGCTCCACCAAGGAGCTCATCTATTTCTCCGTCACCTTCTGCATCACATTCCTGGCGTTCGCGCAGTTCGCGTTTCTCGGTGAGCCTCTATGCTGCGGCGGTCGAAATATTGCTTGCGTGCAAGCCGGAAGACAGTGACAGATAATTAGCTCACGACTTGGAGAGTCCTGACAAAGGAGATGAGCCTATTAAACGGGCTTATACTTATTAAACTTGTGGTTTTTTGGGTTTTAGACTTTTCGCGTCTTTTCTTGACAAACCACCGGCAGCGGTACTCGACCCGGTAGTCCTTAGGCCACCCGTAGCGCACGAAACTATTCATGTCGTTCACCTGATGGCGGGGCAGGGGCTCAGTGGGCCCTTCTGAGCACCGCCGCCGTCCAGCCCGCACACCACCTATGCGGCCGCTCTCAGCAGGCACATACACTATGAGGGCTACACAGACAGCGAGGCTGGCTGCGAACGAGAACACGATTATTCCCACCATCAGGAACTGGCGAGGGTCAATCTTGTTTGCTGCACTTTGCCCTCTTTCGATGTCTGCTGGCCACAGCGTTTTCATCTTCGTGGAGAATGGCCTTAATATGCTCCCGGTTGTAGGTCCGATAAACGAGTATTACGTAAAGTGAGCAAACAAACCCAAGCACTAACGTCAGCAGAAAGTACCCGATTTGCAAAACAAACCCCAACCCCATGCGCCCGTTTCTGGTGACCTTCGTGTGTGGTCTTGAAACCTTGACCACAAAACGCTTAAACCCAATTAAGTCCGAGTGCCCGGAGTTCTGCGCTGTTTCTCCATCCCGGGCTGCGTGTTAGCAGCGTCGGCTGAAGCTCGCGCACATTCGCGACGAGGTCTTCCCACTCAAGGAAACGCATTCCTCTGCCTGGCATTTTGTGACAAAGTAAAAACCGCCGTCAGCGTCACAGCTCAACTTGAGTTATGTTCATGGGCTCCGCGACTCAACAGGCGGGGGGGGGGGGGGGGGGAGGAGGGGCAGAATGCACGTTTCCCAACCTTCCGGAAAGCTCTACGGCGTTGCGTGTAGAGACACGCCTTAAAAATTTGTCGACGTCCTCCGGTTTTTGACAAGTGGCCGAGTCAATGTTGTGTTGTGGATGAGAGGTGCTCGACACGAGCCATCGACAAACAAACTGTGAACATAAATCTTAATGTCGGAAGCTGCGGCGCATTGCTGAACGAATGCCATGAACTGTCATGCGCCACATATAGTTGCATAAGTGTCCTGACTAGCTGGCCTGCATTTACACCTGTGGATGTAATGCACATCGTTTAAAAAGAAGCATGTAACAAAACCAGCTCTCTGCTACCGCAGTAGTATGCATAGTGCGCTTGATTCTCTAAGAGGCGTGGAATGCGGAGCATCAAGCCCCAAACGTCAGGAACTGACTATTGCGTTCCCATTCCAGCCTTCGGCACAACAATGAACCTGTACAGCAACTTCCTGTTCACAGTCGAAAACTTGTGCACTCATTTGTTGGGTAAGTTGAAGCATAAAGACAACGAAGCCATGGAGTGTGCAGAGGTCGGCCCGCATTTTTTCAATGTACTTGCTCGCCAGCCGTTTGATGACGTCATAGTCATCCGCGTATCCATGCGAGATTCGGAAATATTAATGCTGTTTAACTAACCAAATGCCATTAGACCAAGGTGGTCATTCTGACTGTTTTGTACCGTCCTTGTGCCCATGCGGGCTCGCGGTGTCCGGCCCAACGAAGATGATGTGGCCTGTGGTGCTGAGCCATGACAAGTTGTAGACCAATGCGGCGCCGGCCCAGAGCCGCACATGGCGTCCGCTTTGCAGGTGGAGCAGCTGGTAGGAGTTGCGCCTGGGACTCCCACTCCCAGGACCGGGACTCCTGCTGGCCTGGGACTCCCACTCCCAGGACCGGAACTCCTGCTGGCAGTCATGCGATGTGGAACTGGTCCATTCAACTAGGTTTCACATTCGATGCGTTCTAACACGTAATGGGATACAGACTCGTGTGGCGCGGACAGCGTAGACTGCAGCAAACGTCTGCATTTAACGGCACGGGCCAGACTTGGCGTAAAGTTTCTGGGTTCGAACTCGTGGTCAGTAATTCATTATGCCCATGCCCGAGAGGCAAGATGCGATGTTATTGACAATTTGAGCTAAAGGCAGACATTGTGGTGGTAGTATCAGCATTGTTACGTTTAACATGTTTCGTAGACTATATGTGATCGCCTGTATGCATCGCACTCTCACTGTTCCGCTGTGGGGATTTAGTATATTTAAGTGCGTGACTTTTCGAGCGGGCTAATGGCTCATCACTGGCCAGCACGGGCTAGACACGGGCGTGGTGTTGTTCCCGCTTGGGACCCACCCGCTAGGCCTGCCATATTTTATTAAGCTATTTTGAAAAGGCATTCCTTAACACGCGCCCGGGTGGCCGGTTGGGTACCTTTCGCTAGGGTAGACGGTCAATTCGACCGCCTGAGATCTCAAAAATTAAGAGAGCTTGAGACACCAAATTCACAGGGTGTATTGGTCTGTACGTAAACTCACTTACGTAAGAGTTTGAGGTTCGGCGATAATGAGCTACGGGTCAAATAAGATAAAGCAGGGTCAAACTCCAAATTGGTCTCCAAAGTGTCCCCAGGACCTAAATACCTGTTCTAGGCATAAGGCTACATGTTCATTAAAGGGCAGTGACTTGGCTTGACCTTTCGGAAGCCATGGTCACCAGAATCATAAAAGACTGCTTTGAGTTTTGCATTTGAATAAGCGACAAAGATTACGCTAGGCGGTATGTTCCTAAAAACGAAGTCATCACCTGGGTCATTTTTGGTCAGTGACCTCTTATGGCATTTAAGAAGTCCATGAAATATGTCTTATGCAATTCCTGTTATTAATCAATTCGAAATGAGCACCAGAAACTACCCCACACAGCAATACATAGAGTAATGAACCCGGTCGGTTTTGATCTAGATCTGATCTTCATACCTGACCATGTGTCAGCGGAATCTGGTCACTCAATTGTTGTGTTGCCCAAGAAAATATCTCAGGGATGCATGACTTCGTCTAGTGCTTCATGGTTTTGTTCGATTGAGCGATTCCCTAGAAACTGACGTCGTTGAATCCATGGCCTGACTTTGACTTGTCGTAGGTCAGCGACCTCACAAAGTCATCCATTTTTTGATACCACACAAACTGCTATTCAATCGCCTACAGCTATGCAAAATTTAGCGCGGCCACACCGCGTCGTTCGGAAACCATTCCGGAAAAACCCTCTGCGGGCGTCAATTTGACCCCCCGTCCGAGTGCGTGTAAACACTCAGGGGAACCTTGGGTGGTTCGCACTTAATGAGTGTATGCATCGATAACTAGATCTGATGCTACAAACAACTATTCACTTTGGCCCCATAGTGATGTTAGCAAGAAGGTGTGTCAGCTTTTTCGTTAGCGGAACGGCGCAGCGTTTATGTTTAGGAAGGGGAATTGAGGATCGTAAATGAAAAATAGCTTCGAATAATTTGTTCCAAAAGGTCACGGCTCTCTTTGACTACAGGTTCTCCGTAGTGATTTTAATGGGGGCATCTGTCCATTTAACGTCGCAGGTATGATGCTAAATTCCACTGAATCTTCGGGGAAGAGAGCTTTCACTTGTCGGCCCCGTTCTCTTTCCCATTTATCTAGGTATTCGTAGCCCACGTTGGACGCGGTCAATCAGTGACCCCGCGGGGCTCGACCCCAATCAGGCCCACAACATTCCTATCAGTGCTGGACGCTGGTCCTGGTCAATCAGGCATTGGTTTGACGGGTGGTTCGACGAAGACCGCTCACCGGTAAGAGCAAAGGCGGGGGTCGCCTAAGCGCCGGTCCACCGATGGTGGCCCACGCGGAGCCACCATCGCAGGGTCGAATACACCGCCGATGGTGGTCCACGTGGAGCCGCCATCGCGGGATCGAATACAGCGCCGGGCTGGTCTACGTGGAGCCACCATCTCAGGGTCGAATACACCGCCGATGGTGGCCCACGTGGGGCGACCATCACAAGGCTGAATACAGCGCCGATGGTGGTCCACGTGGAGCCACCATCGCAACGCCGAATACAGCGCTGAGCATGGTCCACGCGGAGCCACCATTGCATGGTCGAATTCAGCGTCGATGGCGGTCCACGTCGAGCCGCCATCTCAGCGTCAAATACTCAGCCGATGAGCGAAATATCGCGCAGACCTGGTGCGTGCGGCCCTCGCAGGCTTGGCAGACTTGGTGCGTGCCACACTTGAAGGCTCAGAGGAATGATTTCATTTGGGCTCTGCCGGCTCAGTGCTGGTGCCGGCCGTTTGTCATAGGTTCTTGGTCTAAGTAAAGCGTTTAGTTAAGCCAATGGCCAAGGATTGCTGCGATGTTTGCAATACCACAACGCGTTGCGCCACGTCATAAATATGGTCAGCACAACTTCAGCGCCTTATCGAGCTCGGGCTTTCGCCCCGGCGATTGACGACAATATGGGATTGTCGTCACTTGCGATTGATGACAATATGGGATTGTCGTCACTTGCGATTGCCACCTGCACCCCTGAACATCACATGTACACATAACCTTGTGTCACATTCACTTTTGTACAAAATCCATGTTTGGGAAGGCTACCTTTTGCTAATGGAGCTATAAGCGCCGGCCCGCCAGGTGACGAGGTGGCCGAGTGGTTAAGGCGTTGGACTGCTAATCCAATGTGCTCTGCACGCGTGGGTTCGAATCCCATCCTCGTCGGTGCGTTTTTCAGATACGTGGTATGAAGAACCTTTGACAAACTAGAATACCCATGCCAGCGCAATGACAAAATGTTACCGAGTAAAGGTTCAGCTGCATCAAATCGACGTAGATTTAATTCATATTAGGAAAACATAATGGAAAAACTCAGGCAACTTTGAGGACGTAGATAGAATTAAGACATTGAATATGCTTATTCCCCGTAAAATAACCAGGAGAGTGGAGATTGATGATGATAGATGCATGGTGATGATGATAGACGCACTGATGTTCGGGTAACTGCCTTTATCAATACGAATAACTGATTCGTTTTGATAAAGGCATGGAGCCGAAATATCAGTGCACCCATATTTTATTTTTCTTGGCTACTCTGCGTGAAATAAGGCTATTAATGCCGTCATATCCACGTGCATACTAATCCTCGCAAGTCCTCGCCAATCCTCGCACTTACTACTTACATAACTTCACTAGGGATGAATTCAAATAGAGAAATCCTAGCGGACAAAAGCCGACAGGAAGTCCACAAGGCACCGCTGAGTGTGTGTTTTTTAAATCACACTCATTATCATAAGCAACGCTTGAAACGCCAAGTACTTATCATGCATCCTATGGTTTAAAGGGAATGCAGATGGCCTCCAAGCAATTATCATCTGCGTGCTATTCGTAAGTGAGATGCATTTTGATGAATGTTTGGTCACGGACCTCGCTCGCAGAATCGAAAAGTTCAAATATAAAGCGGGCAGCAGATGCTAGCCAGCGGTGACGCCGGTTTTCCCAGCACACAAGTGATAAAATGGCCTGGCATGATAACCAGGACCATATATTTAGAATAACGCTGGTGATCTTCACTCGTATCTTCAAAATGTGTACAAGCACTTCACGGCGGTCATTATTTGGTTCAATAACTCCCAGATGGTAAAGTCCTTGTGCAACGTAACGCGTGGTAAGCAATCGTGAAGGGCCATTTAATCAGGTGTGCTGGGGAAAACCACTCTCAGCACTGGCTAGCATCTTGTGTCTGCTTTATATATGGGCTTGTTGATGCTGTGAGGAAGGTCCGTGAACGACAGTATATCAAAAATACAACTAGCTTAATGAATATGACGTATATGGCTATTGCAAGAGTACATCTTAATTCCCATGAGTACTTACCATGCCTTACATTGCACAAGCACTCTGTCAACAAACAATCAATGTTTGGTCAATTATGTCCTTACAACTGTGTCTCCTGATGCACTGAAGGCCGATATCACGTCACAGGAACTCCGAGCTCAGCCCGTACGAAAGGACAATACGCCGTGTGTGGGAAAATGTCCGAGAGTTTGCAGAGCTAAAAATCTAGGTTGTTCCCTGCCCCAGTTTTTAATTGATGCCGCAGTGCCCTTTGTTAGCCATGTCCCATCGCATCCGATTCACATCTGCAGGTGACATCGACTTCGACACCATGTACGCCGAGCACGGCAGCCTCGGCATCTGCTTCTACCTCGTCTTCGTTACCATCATGACGTTCATCGTGCTCAACATGTTCCTCGCCATTCTTGGCGACTCGTTCACTGAGGTGAAAGAGGAGTTGAAAGGGGCCCGAAACCAGTACGAGCTACTAGACTTCTGCAAGGGCATTGTGATGGTCAGTATGCACACAACGCCTTCCCCTTTCTGCATGGGTGCAGACAGTTTGAAAGATGAATGAGATAAACTGTTTAATGGGCTCTACAAAAACGTGCGCTGGACATATTTTGGTATTGTCACAGCGATGTTTTCAATGCTCCACTTTCTGCATGTGCACAGACTTTTGTAATAAGAATGTCTCTTGTCACACTCCTGTGCGCACCGCCGCGCGGCTGTCAGACCGCACACTATACTCAACTGAGCACGGCTGGCCAATTGTTCACGCGCGGCTGTCAGACCGCACACTATACTCAACTGAGCACGGCTGGCCAATTGTTCACGCGCGGCTGTCAGACCGCACACTATACTCAACTGAGCACGGCTGGCCAATTGTTCACGCGCGGCTGTCAGACCGCACACTATACTCAACTGAGCACGGCTGGCCAATTGTTCACGCGCGGCTGTCAGACCGCACACTATACTCGACTGAGCACGGCTGGCCAATTGTTCACGCGCGGCTGTCAGACCGCACACTATACTCAACTGAGCACGGCTGGCCAATTGTTCACGCGCGGCTGTCAGACCGCACACTATACTCAACTGAGCACGGCTGGCCAATTGTTCAAAAATAGTGCATGTGTAGAAGCATCTCGTCTGAAGAGAGACATCTGGTATTCGGACGACGCTGAAACGCAAACAAAAGACTAGCAAACTTTTGAACGCAAGTTGCCGGTGACAATATCAGCAGCATCCTAGAGCAGCCCGGCAACCAGCGCCCGGGCGATGCGCGGACACAGGTCTGCTCCAGGAGGGTATCGCACCACCGCCACACGGGGCACCGATCCTGAACTTACCTGGTCTGACCTGACCTGACCCGACCTGACCCGACGGCCGTTCCGTCCGCAGGACCTGCTGGGCATGAGCCGCACCCGGGCCGAAGGTCTTGACCCGACGCTTCCCAGCGCCGAGCCGGAGGAGGACGCCGCCGCGCAGCAGGAGGACCCGGCCCCGGCTGCCTGGCCGTTCGGGCGGCGCAGCGCCAAGGTGGTGCCCTCTGCGGAGCCGACCGAGCTCCGGCCCGCGTCCGCAGCGCCCTCTGTTCCTCCGCCGGACGGCTCCGACGCCGCGAGCTGCGCCGCAGCGCGGGAGGAGGGGCAGGCTGCAGAGCTAGCAGGCGCCGGTGACCAGAGCTCGCCTGCTGGTGACGACACTGTGACCCCTCCGGATGCGCTTCAGAACGCTGGCAGGTGAGAGTGAATGGCACGTCAACTGGGAGGGCCGACAGCAGGTCACGTGTCGACTGGGAGGGCCGGCAGCAGGTCACGTGTCGACTGGGAGGGCCGACAGCAGGTCATCTGTCAACTGGGAGGGCCGACAGGTCACGTGTCGACTGGAAGGGCCGGTAGCAGGTCACGTGTCGACTGGGAGGGCCGACAGCAGGTCATCTGTCAACTGGGAGGGCCGACAGGTTACGTGTCGACTGGGAGGGCCGGTAGCAGATTACATCACCGTTGCCAATTCCGTAATCATCAGTGATAATGCTTCTTAAGCTCTGAAGCGCCAACAGTTAAGGTGGCCAAGTATAGCGGCGGGAATTAAACCCAAGGCTCTCGACCCAAAACATCAAGCTTGACGCCTTCTTCCACTTAGCTGTTCAGGCATATTGGGCCAGGCCCAAATAGTTTTATGTTAAAACGAAACAAGCGACAAAATGTCGAGGAAACCGCAATCAATGGTCATCCAAACTTAAGGTATTAGCTTCCTGTTCATCCACAGTGGTTGTGGTAGGTCGAAGTGCTGATTGCAGGAGATTCGAAGCTGCTTCACTCATCCGAACGTAATGAGCTTAAGAACTGTTTGCGCCTGCTCGCACTGCAACCGACTCCGCGATCACCTGTCGACCTCCGCATGTTCCTTGACGCGGTGGAGGCCAAGGCTTCGCGGCGTTCTGACCGGCCCTCCCCCCCCAGCGCCCGCGCGCCGACACCACCTGCGGAGGCGACGGCCTCCGGGCCCGCCTCTGGCCCCGCCCCGGCGTCGGATGACCCCAAACCCGCCTCCGCCCCCGCCCCAGCGATAGACGAGTGCGAGCCCGCCTCCGCCCCCTCCCCGGCGGCAGACGAGTCCGAGCCCGCCTCCGCTCCCGCCCCGGCGGCAGACGACTCCGAGGCCGCCTCCGCTCCCGCCCCGGCGGCAGACGACTCCGAGCCCGCCTCCGCTCCCGCCCCGGCGGCAGACGAGTCCGAGCCCGCCTCCACCTCCACCTCGGCGGCGGGTCTAGACCGCCTCAGCGCGCACTCCCCCAGCTTGCTTCGCGACATCTGGCGGCTGCCAGGATCCCGGACCGAGTAGGCCTCGGCTGACGCCGCCTCACCCCTGACGACCCCGGCCAGAACTGAACTCGAGAATGGAACGCGGATGGATGGTGCCTCCGGTGCGAAGACTCTCCGTGGGTGGACGGGGAAGCCCTGTCGACCTGTACGGTCGAACCGAAAAAAAACATGTGCCCTCAACCGGCTGACCTCGCGTGATCTGACCCGCCCTCTGGATGGCGCCGCGGGACTCCGTTGAGCGATGGTCGGTTCGGGCGCAGACGGATGCAGCCGTCAGCATTGGTGTCGAGGTGCGGCTGTCGGCCGTCAGTGTTAGTGTCGGGATGCGGCTGTCGGCCGTCAGTGTTGGTGTCGAGATGCGGCTGTCGGCCGTCAGCGTCGGGATCGGCCAGAGCTTCGCTGGGTTCCGCAGCGCGGGTCCCGCCACTCGTCTGTCACTCCGTCGAACACTCGCGCGGTGCTCACTTATTGACAGGAAGTGGTGTGACAAAACATTCGTTTGAGTTTGGTAGGATAGTAAGTGATGCAGCTAAAAAAGAAAACAGTGTTGAAATGTTGAAGTGTTACGACGGATGCCCATTTTACGTATGACCCAGAAGAATGCGCTATTTTACTGTATCCTGTCTATTCCCTGAAAGTGCCTTACCAGTTCAAAGCCAGCAAGCACTGTTTTATAAATCGCGCAGCCTGTCTCACTGCTCACCACGAAAATATACACGAACCTCACACATTGTTTCAGCTCCCAATGTACCAAGGTGTTTTAACCCAGCACGGTCGGCGGAAGTTGAACTGCGTTTGTGGAAAACCACCTGTCCATCTCATCGGTCTGCTCCAACTGAAAGAGACCGCACTTTAAGTCATCCATTCATCTGCCAAGCAGTGGCTAACAGTGTATGCCGAGTACGGTGTTGATCTCACAAGATGACCAACAACTGGCCATCGTAACTAGCTACTGGCCAATACCGATAACTAGACCTACCTCCGGCGTCGGGCAAAGGATACCTAAGTGGTTCTGTTCATGTAAAGCTCTCTGCGTTTTATGCTTACATTCAGGTGAAGATCACTACCATATCACCGTCCATCATTGTCAGGTATATTTCTTTCGGAGGCAACACTGACGCGTTGGTGACCTGACTGGCGACGGCGACACGGGCCGCGGGGCGGACAACCGCGTGCCGCCCCATCCCGCCGCCTGGATAGCACAGCAACAACAGAATAGCCCTCGACAAAACACAGTACAACGCGCCGGCAGGAGCCGCGGCTGACAATGGTGACCGACCGGCCCGCCAGCAGCTGCCAGATGCCATCCCGCACGCTGGCGGCGGCAAACTGGAACGCCTGTGACCAAAGTGCAACTTATGTTTAGAGTCCTTCAGCGAACAATAGCCGTTGCCGACTGAAGTTGTGAAATTTGTCGTCTTTCACTCAGATAAAAAACAATTGACCACGACCTCATGTTCTTTCAGTCACCTAGAGAGCACAAAATGTAGACATAGAGAGCTGAATTAGAGAGCAGAACATATAGCCACCAATAAGCCAGTCAAAAGTCCTGCGCGGTCACCAGCGCAGCACCACAGCTGCTGCCCGTCATTCCAAAAACGTGTCACGACATCGATAAACTGTTACACAAAATAGCTATCTGTAAAGTACGAGCCGGGCAACACATAGCCCAAGCAGTCCACTGGACGTCAGCTGCGCGCGGCTGGCGCTCCAGCTCTCCGCTGGCACCTGGGCAAACAACAGAACCGCCAGCTCATACAAAACGACAACCCTCCCAAAGCTTTCAGATCTGAGGTTCAGCACAGACATGCCTTACGCCAGATGGCTCGTGCGCCAAGCGAGCTTCGCCAGCGCACGAACCCCACGCAGCCGCCTTGGCCAGAGGCGGCACCCAGCGGCCATGGCGTGAAGCAAAAGTTGCCGACAGCGGCGGTGCGCGGCGGGCGCAGCTTCGCCAGCGGGCTGCCCATCTGTGACCGTTGCCGGCGGCAACTGCACAGAGGGCCCCACCGAGCCGCACCGCCCGCGCCGGGGCCGCCGCGGCGTCCGTCTGGCCTTCGCCAAAGCCAGCGACGCGCCGCCTGCGCGGCGCCCGTGGGCGCTGCCCCCGCTATTGTATGACGCAGCAGCGGCCGCGCGGCTTCTTCTTCAGCGCCACGCGCTCCACCTGGGCGGCGCCCTCGGGCGTGACGACCGAGTGGCGCACTTCCACTGTACCGGGCTGCTGCGTGGCGAGCAGAGTGGCCGGCGGTGACGGCGGCGACGGCGGCACGGCCGTCTGGAGTGCGGTCGTCTGGAGCGCCACCGCCGGCTCGCCAGCCGGCAGGCCGTTTGCCGGCGAGCCGGCGTGGCCGTTTCCGGCGGCGGGCGGCGGGGCCGGCCCGTCGGCAGCGTCCAGGCTGGCGTCGAGCGGCCGGCCCGACTGGATGGCGCGCACGATCTGGTCGGCCTCCTTGCTCAGCTCGCCGCCCGGCCGGAACGGGTTCTCCCAGCCGGCGTCGACGCTGCAACAACGGGCCCGGCCACCGGTCAGACGCGCCCCGCCTCCCCCCAGACGGCTGGTGAGGCGCCTGGCACATGACGCCAGCGCTCGGCACCGCCCGGCCCACCGCCGATCCGCTGCGGCCAGGTTAACGCTGGTCGGCACCACCGATACAGACAGCCCATATGGCCGAGTCAAGTTCACATGAGTCGCGGCCTTAGACGGTTTAGCATGATTCATGATCAGGCTCGAACTGACAGCGGGTATGACACGTGAGAAAAGAAAACACTGGCTGATAACACCGAGTTTCCAGTGTCGTATCAGTCACGCACGCTGCTGTTCGTCTCACCAATATTTCACAGTTTAACCAATACACGTCGATTTGGCAGCGAGCGGGTGCGGTGAGACCCGGCTGGGGTATCACTGGCGCGTGCTTAACAGCGAGTGGGTGCAGTGAGACCCGGCTGGGGCATCACTGGCGCGTGCTTAAGTCGGCACCGACCTGCGTGCTTACAAGCACGGACACACATATTGGCCACACCGGCTTGACAAATCGACACATTTGTCACAGGATAGCTGGCATGCGGCCATTGGCCACTACTGGTCAAGGAATGCAGACTCTGATAAAAATAGCCGCCGTAGGCATGCAACACAGGCAGAAGTTTGACACATTATCAATGAACGAAGCCTTGTACGCACTACAGCACGAATGCAGCCGAGATTAGGGCGACCAGGTCCCACCGCCTGTTAAAAACGACCGAACAGGTGGCTACAGCTGGATTTGCGTGAAAGCATCCAGCTGGCTGGTTTTGCAGCCCGTAGCAATACAAGCGAGGGTCGGGTGAACTATCTGCCCAGCTACCCCATTCATGGTCGACTGGTCTGTGCCTCCCGAAATAGATGTCGTGGAATTCTACAGCTGTCAATGTAAAACTTGTGTGCCAAAACCATGACTGCAGCCCAGCGGCTTCCACACTCAGCGGGGCTGTAACGTCCAAGAACTCTCCGAGACCATGGCAACGAATATCACGAGTCCACGCAAACAACACGGTGATGTAGTGTGCACTGGCGCAAACCTCCACCGTCAGCCTTTCCCGGCGGCATCCTGTTCGCTCGGCGAGAGCGGCCGGACCGCCCAGGCCCAGGAACAGTGCCACACGTCACACGGGCCCCGGCAACAGCGGACAGCGGAGAGTGGACAGCGGACCCCGAGCCGGGGCAGCAGCGGCCGCCGCCAGCTGGAGCGGCGGCCGGGCACGGCCGGCGGCGCCAAGCTCAACACGCCGGCTGCCGTGACCCGGCCAACGACCGCGAGCCGCACCAGCGGGCAGGCAGGGGTCACGGGCCGGACCCGCACCGAGACGGGCTGGTCAGGTAGGTCCAGAGACAGACCCGCAAGGAGACGGGCTGGTCAGGTGCGTCCAGAGACAGACCCGCACGGAGACGGGCTGGTCAGGTGGGTCCAGAGGCAGACCCACAAGGAGACGGGCTGGTCAGGTGGGTCCAGACAGACCCGCACGGAGACGGGCTGGTCAGGTGCGTCCAGAGACAGACCCGCACGGAGACGGGCTGGTCAGGAAGTCAGGTGGGTTGGAGGTTCTTGTTGGCGCTGACCGCTGCTCACTGGCGGCGTCCTGAGAGGTGGCTTACATCAGTAGAAGACTGATGGAACGGGGTCGGGACAGACTCCGAGCAACGCCCTTCGAATGCGTATAAAATGACCACCTCCAACTGAGTAAAGGACAGTGACATCAGGTCTGGTATGGATCCTATTCCTTGTTCACCGTGGTGTCTTAGTCTGCAAGGCAAGCGGTGCTAACCCGTCGCCAGTCCGGTCGAGAGTCTGCTGCTGCTACTGAGAACAAGTCAACAGAGTCTGCCGCTGTTAATGAGACCAAATAAACAGTCCCCCGCTGTTGCTGAGATCAGGCATAGTCTGCCGCTGTTCCTTCCAGTCGACAGAGTCTGCCGCCGTTACTGGGACCAAGTGCCAGACCGGGCTGCTGGAACCGAGAGCGAACAGCGCAGGACACGACGGTGGCGGCGCCGGCGGACGGTGGACCGCCGGTCGGGCCCCGTCTGCCGGCGGCGCGGGTACTTGCCGACATGGCGCAGAACAGCATTGAGATTCGGTGTTTCAGAGGTTTAACTTGGCAGCCTTTGACCCCGACGACACTGCACCCCGTATACGAAGGAAGCCCTTGGACTAGGACAGGATCACACTCGGACGAGTCAATTCCACGACGGAAGTCCATACCCTGGAGAACGCAAGGCGTGGAGGAACGGCCCATTCAGTCCATTCTGGTAAAGCAATGGAGATGCGGCGCCGACAATGCGAGCACGTCGCACGTCACCGAGCCGGGTGTAGCCTCGATGGAGGCGGAGCATTGCCTCGGGCTCAGCCAGATGCGATTCAGCATGGCTCGGTGCTGTCCCAGCACAACAGGCGGCCCGCACTCGAGGCCAGCAGGGCCGCGGTCGCAGTGTCACGCGAACGATGAGCGCGGCCGCAGGCTCGCCGACACACGCCGCAGCCGCCGTGACACGAGAGCGCCGACTGGCGGCGACAGCGCGTGCGGCAGCGCGCGTGGGACCGCAGGCGGCCGCTCCCAGGCCGGGCCGCGTCAATGTCCGGCCGCAGGCGGAAGCGGCCAGCACACTGGAGCACCGCTGCCGGCGCTGTCCAGCGGCGCCGCTAGGACGAGGACAGTGGCAGCGGGAGGGAGGCGCTGTTGTCGGCCACGCAGTGCTGGTCGGTGAACACGAGGACATCACGTCGGCCGGGAGCGGGCCTCGGGTTGCCACACCTCCACTCAAGCCTCAGCAGCCGCCGAACGGCAACAAACGGCTCGGCACCGCGGCCGTGACGTTAGGGGCACGTGACATCGTAAACTGGACACGAATCCAGCACCGCCTCGGACAGCATTCAACACGGCGCTGCACGAGCACCACCTCTACCGGCACCCACCGCCTGGTCTCCACCGCCGCGACGAGCCGGGCCCGCACGGGCACCTCCATTCCGGCGGCAGCTAAAGCTCAGAGCCGAGGCAGCGACCACGCCTGGCCCGTCGGCGGTACCTCCTTGACCTTTTCCGGCGCGGACGTGCCGCGGCCGCAGCAGGCGGGTCGGGGCGGGGCGCAGTCAGTCGCGGCCGGCAGCGGGCCTCACTGACGCACCGGGCACGCTGAGGGCGCACGTCCCGCGCCCGGCGGCGCCGCTCTGGGGCAGAGGGGTGCGGTCCGGCCGCCAGCCGGCAACGGTGCGCGCCGCGCCGCCGCCCCCCCACAATCAATGGCGAGCCACCTGTGCGCGCGCGCCGGCCGCGGCTAGGCCGGCGCCGCCCGGCAGCAGCGTCGCCGCCGCCGTTCGGCCCCGCGGCCGATCCCGGCCGCCTGACTCGCAGACGTCGCCCCTTGACGGCGGTCGTGCGCAGGCGGGCCAGCTCTGACGTCGGTGACGTCACCATCAGTCCAGCATCGACGGCAGCTGCCTATCGCGGTTCTCACCCAGCGCGAACTGTTCCCGCGGCTCAGCTCTGAACGAGGTCCGTCCCCAAACTGAGCTCCAATCGATAGCACTTGGTCGCAGTGGTCTGGTCAACGAGCGTGCTTGGACACAAACAACACGTCCAACGCGCATAACGGCCACGGCCTCCACAGTCCAGCCGGCAAGCGCCCCTTGCGTCTGGACTTGACATGCGAGATTGCGATGCGACGTGGTGTGGGGCACAACAAGTATATTCAACGGCAGGGCTGGCAAGTCGTTCGCGCGCTATCCGAGAGCGCGCGCGACGTCGCAGAGCCCGTTGCCATCCAGCCTCTGGCCACTGGCTCTGGGCGCAGCGCTCCACGATCCACGCCGAGTTCTGGAGCTCTCCGAACCGTGACGCGCTTGGCCGAGCAATCCACCAGCGCTGTCAAAAGTGATCGCTGGCGAGGGCTGACCGGATGGGGCGCTGGACGCCGGTCCGCTGAGGCGTCCCGGTGAGCTCATCTGTTTATGCACACAAACCCCAGTCATGCGCAAAACAGGCCAGTGCCATCTCTACTAAGCATCTCTACCAAACGTTCTTGCCGCCAGTCGCAGTGGAGTGGCTTGGATCGCCGCCTAAAAAAAAAAAACGGCTAGGGCGCGGCACCGACAAGCTTGCTGTCGTCACAGGCGACAGGGGGAAACAGCACGGGCAATTGCCATGGCATCAGAGGCCAGCCCTCCCGGGAGCCGCACCGATAGATGTACTACACGAGCTCCCAGAGCCCCCCCCCCCCCCCCAATCCCAGAGCAACAGCGGTGGCGGCGAGGCGAGCTCGTGACCGAGGCCGCCTCCAACAGAGCTATGGACCGCATCTGCCGCCGGCAGGGCAGATCAGCGGCTGCCCACTCCGCGATCAGACGGCGGTCAGGCGAGGACATCAGGACAGAGACCGCCTCCACCGAGCGACGGACCGCATCTGAGATCGCCGCCGAAATCGCCGAAATTGCCACGCCGAAATCGTGTTTGTCAACTTCACTTTCAGTGACGCCTTCCAGTCCGACATCATACGCGATGTGAGGTAGACGAAGCTTTTGACCTTCCACCGGCGTTCCACGTCGTGGGTCGACGCCATCACGTATGCTGACAGGCGAGCCAATCATTCAGCATTTCGTCACGAGAATCGCCCTACACTGGCGTCACGACCGAACGGAGGCAAAGCAGGCGGACCGGCCGGCGCTCGACGACAGGCCTACAGCTCGCGGTTCGGTCATCGGCGGCGCCAGCCGCGTCAGCACGGATCGAACACCCCGCACGCGACGTATAATCAGCGCCGACGACCTAGCGGAACGGCTATGACGCCGGCCAACCTGTTAACGGTTCCCCGCCACATGGCGGAGCCACGTGAGAACGACAGCCAGCGCTCGACGCAGAACGGGCTATGGCGTGAGAACAAAAGACGTCCGACCAAAGCAACCCGCAGTATTATTATGAAAAGGGATCCAGCCGTCCGCATTCATAGACGGTCTGACAGGAATGCGGCCCTGAACAGTGCCTTAGTCGATACTCGACAGAACATGTGGCCCTCATAATTCGATCCAAGTCGCCCGCGTCGACACGTACTGCGTCCATTGCAAACAACCGTCCCGTAAGACGTGACCTAGTCCTACGTACCACACGTACCCGCACGTACCCGCACCCCTTCGGACCTTGCCCAACACACAATGTATCTTTTCACGCATATGCCTAACCCTCTTCAACTTCTTCACCTGGAAACGCCAAAATCATCGCATATTTGCATGCGAGCTAACAGATTTTCGCCAACTGCCTTCCTGAAGGCATGCCATCTAAAGCGTACTTTTGCCAGGACGGCAGCCGTGCCGATGGCCTTCCTAAAGGCATGCCATCTAGAGCATACGTCTGCATGGACGGCAGCACACGCCGACGACGCCGGCGGTTCCCTGAACACGCCGTGTCCGGCGGTTCGACGCCCGCGTCTCCAGCGGGCCAGCCGGCCGGCGCCGGGGCCTGGCGCGGGCCTCACCTGGACACAATGTAGGTGGTGGGCATCTCGGTGGCGACGGCCACGAGCGGCGTGTGCGCCGGCGGCCGGGCCGGGCGCCGCTCCGACGCCTCGCTGGCGTCCGAGCCGCTCACACACAGCGGCCGCTTGCTCTCGTAGTAGGTGACGCGCACGCGCGAGGTGGCCTTCTGCGCCGGCTCCTCCTCCGACCTGTGACCAACGCGCCAATGGTGAGCACCGATGCTGCTTGTAACGCTTACAGTGACGAGTGTAACGCTGGGGATAATGGCGGCTTTAGCGGCGGCGAGGGCGTTCGACGTCGGACGTTTGCCGAAATGTCACACCTGGTCGCGGGGAGCACTGAGCAGCGCGGACCAGGCACAGCCGGGGGGCGTGGCAGGTCAGGTGTACAGGAGGCTGGAGCGGGGGTCGTGACAGGTCAGCCGGGCCGCAGGGAGCGCAGCGGAGACGTCAATGAGACACCCGTCCCGAGGGAGACACCCTTGAGGAGACGCACTCTATCACGGACGGCAGGCTTACCGCGGGGAGAACACGCCCGGAATGAGTGCTGGATGGTGGGGGGCGAACCCCTCAACGCAGGGGGAGGGTGGAAGGGGAGATAACGGTGAGACAGACGCATGCATGCAAGACGGACGACTCAAGTCAATGGGGACAACTATTGACAAGGAAGGATAGGAAAAGATCTATTAAGGTACGCAGGGAGACAGTGGTCTCTCAGTACAATGGTAAATATTAAGAGTATGAGACAGGCACCGATAAGCAACAAAAAAACTACGAAGCAACAGATTGGCAGCACAGATACAGGATAACCGGGATATACGCGTCTCCTGAGGCAGAGAAGTGCGGTCCGTTCCAGTGGCACAGACCCCGCGATCGCGCCAAAATTACTGCCGTTTTTTCGACCGGCAATCGGGCGGCGGGGTCACGAGTCACAGCCCACATACCAGCTCGAGCACGTAACAACGGAACTCGGGACCTGGCGAAAGGCTTGCCTTCGCAATCAGGTCCTGCCTCAGCCATCAGGTCCTGCTTCACCCGTCGCAGTGGTACGATTTGTACCTTCCTATGTGATCTGTCCCGCTGTGTCAGAGAGGCTGAGGCCGGGGCTGGGAGGTTCATTCACCCCGACTTTTGGCATATCGCTGCGGACCATCTTTCGTGGGGGAGACAGGGCTACAAAAAAGCACGCACCACTACGAAAAATATTCACATTCCACACAGTTTAAATGACTGAAAGCTTACATATTAACAAATGGTGGTGGAAATTGATGTAGCTATTTCTGGGACTTTAAGGTGCCTTCATGTCTTGGCCTACTGGGTGGTATACGAAAGATAGCTGAGATAGAACGGGAGCACTGCTACCGCCCCAGGCAGCGCTGTCGGCACCCCGCCTCGGGCGGCACCAGCACGGTCCTGCCCATCCCGTGGCACAGAGGGGGGGAGGGGGGCATCAGATCACGTGGGCGGGACGAGGGCGGCGGGTCCGTTTGGGCCGCAGCCAGCGGGGGGCGATGACGCGGTGACCCCGGGCCCGGGAAGCGACCGCAGCCAGGTGGCGCGTCACACCGTTACGGACGTCCTGAGGGCGACGGCCGCGTTCTGGGGTTCAGGAGATACGAGCCCAGCTGGCTGCTGTTGAACGTTGGCGCCCCGTGTCTGACGGGCTGTGCTCGTCAGCGGGAGCTCAGCGTTGCGAGCCCAGCTGGCTGCTGTTGAACGTTGGCGCCCCGTGTCTGACGGGCTGTGCTCGTCAGCGCGAGCTCAGCGTTGCGAGCCCTGCTGGCTGATGTTGAGCGTTGGCGCCCCGTGTCCGACGGTCTGTGCTCGTCAGCGGGAGCTCAGCGTTGCGAGCCCTGCTGGCTGATGTTGAGCGTTGGCGCCCCGTGTTTGGCAGTCTGTGCTCGTCAGCGGGAGCTCAGCGTTGCGAGCCCAGCTGGCTGCTGTTGAACGTTGGCGCCCCGTGTCTGACGGGCTGTGCTCGTCAGCGCGAGCTCAGCGTTGCGAGCCCTGCTGGCTGATGTTGAGCGTTGGCGCCCCGTGTCCGACGGTCTGTGCTCGTCAGCGGGAGCTCAGCGTTGCGAGCCCTGCTGGCTGATGTTGAGCGTTGGCGCCCCGTGTTTGGCAGTCTGTGCTCGTCAGCGGGAGCTCAGCGTTGTGAGCCCTGCTGACTGCTGTTGAGCGTTGGCGCCCCGTGTCTGACGGTCTGTGCTCGTCAGCGGGAGCTCAGCGTTGCGAGCCCTGCTGGCTGCTGTTGAGCGTTGGCGCCCCGTGTCTGACGGTCTGTGCTCGTCAGCGGGAGCTCAGCGTTGCGAGCCCTGCTGGCTGCTGTTGAGCGTTGGCGCCCCGTGGCTGGCGGTCTGTGCTCGTCAGCGGGAGCTCAGCACTGATATATGTCGCCCGGGTGGCGGCATCCGAGAGCTCGGCGGTTGATGGCCTGAACTGGCCCAACATTACACGGCCGGCAGATGCGCCGGTGTGTCATAGTGTCGACGGCGCGTCAACCACCAGAAAGGTGCGCAATGCAGCTTCGCTACTGCTCCAGCACGCATCCTTATGTAAGACCTCGAAATGGCTTCCACGAACCCCGGATGTCATGCTGATCATTTCTGCAAACGGTGTAAATCATTGCGAATATGCGACCTTGAAAATGTACCAGATCGGTGACAATTTTCACAAAGGTATTGCGGCCATGATTGGCTGCTTTAGAACCTCACCAGCCGCATCCTTTTCAATGTCAACATTGTAAAGACTTACGCCAAAGCGACGAAAGGGCAAAATATTACACTTGCACAAGTGCACCATACGTTGCTAACGAGCAAGCGGTTCACTGATAAAATAGGAAAAGCCAATTTCTGGCGAGAACCGTACATAGCATTACCCGCACATCATCACGATGGCAGCACGCGACAAGCCGCAGTTGACCATCTCGCGGGCCGTGACGGGGTCAGACCGCCGGTCCCACAGCACCGGGCCGGCGGCGGTACTCACACGGAGGGCATGGGTCCCCGTCCCGGTCGGGGCCGCTGCCAGCCAGCCCGCCGCCGCACGGCAGGCCGGGTCAGCCCAGGTCAGGTCAGGTCAGGTCAGGCCACCACCTCAGGCCTGGTGTCACTCGACCCGGCCGAGTGAACGTCCCTCGGGACGAGAGGTCACGCTCCTCGCGGGCTGCGCGGGCCGGAGCGCCACTGCAGCAGGCTCGCCGGGCGTCACCAGCTCTCCGCAGCACAGTCACAGACGGCGTCGCGGTGCCCTCGGCAGCCAGGCTCCGCCGCACGGCCGGCGGCGCCGACACCACGCTCCGCGCGCACCGCTCGGCTCGGCGCCGCGCTCCCACGGCGTCCGCGTCAGTGCGCGCCCTCGGCGGGAGCGGCGGTCGACTGCCGGGCCGCCGCGGAGCCCCGGGGCGCGGTCAGCGGGGCCGTGATGTCACCGGCCGACCTTGCTCCGATCGGCGGCCGTTTATTTGTGCGGGCGCCGTTCCAGGCCGGCGCCGCGTGACGTCACAGGCCGCGCCGGTGTCAAAACACGGCCGGCGTCGGGCTCGACGCTCGGCGCAAATCGCGTGTCATGGGCGGCCGCCGCCGACGGCGACTAAATATACCGCGCCGGCGGCCAGGCGCATAGGCCGGCGGCCGCGGCAGGGCGACGCACGGCGGCGTGCGACAGGCGGGGCCGCGTGGGCAGCCGGCGCGCCGCAAACGACCGCCTACGTGCCGGGGGCCGGGCCGACCGCACTGAATGTAGCTATTGATAGAATGCAACCGGTGCCTGAGAACATTGGGAGGTGGTGGCGACGCGCTGCGTATTCGGAGACGGCCAGTTAGACCCGATGGATTGTACGGTGCGAAACGCTGACGTCATTACGGCGAGCAGACGTGTGCCAGCACGCTACGGAGCGCGCCACTAGGTTCTACATAGGTGCCGCGCTACATAGGTGCCGCTCTGAGTGAGATAGGTCGCATGGAAACAACGGATGAGAACAATCAAGCAACATTCACCCGTGGCGGAACAAGGCATCTATATAGAGGCCACCGAGCCAGCGGCCTGCTCGGGTGCAGCAGCGGATCAGTGGCCAGCGGTGACAGACCAGTTCGGCCCCTGCTAGCACACGTACAGCGGCGACGGTGGCCGCCCTCTGTTTGTCCTGGGCTCTCCAGCAAGTCAGCACTACGCAGATATCCGGCCAGACGTCTGTTGCTCCAGCAGCACGCGCTGCCCACCACCACCCCGGCCACCAATCAGATCACAGCACTGCGATCTGGCCGTGACGTGATTAGATCACGCCACCAATCACGACATTGCGCCGACGCAAACTCATCTCCACATTTTTGCATTACAACGGATTCCTCATATGCGCGTAAAACAATTATTTTTTTGTGCATGCCTGAACCCAAAGGCATTACACGGATAAGACAAAGTAAAAAAGCTTACTTTTAGTTAAATACCTTAGTACTTAGATCCTGCTACTGGGCTTTGTTACAAACAACAACAGTCATATGGCATCAACAATTTATCACTTTTTTAGAAAAAACGAAATAAGAAAACGTTTGGGACCGTAATGAATGGTGGAAGCGATGTTTCAAAAAGGAACCTTGCTTCGGGCTGGCATGCCCCCGGCACCGTTGTATCCGACCTCGTACCTAACGCGGACGTGGATCCACACAAACGACGACGACCAGGCCTCTTAGGCGAAATATCTGCCAGACCCGTTTCGTCGGTTCGTCCAGTGCCCCTGGCAGTGACACGCCCGAGTGCTTAGTGCACGGCTGGTGCCATAGTCCGCTGCCCGAGCACAAAGTCAGTCCCTGCCCCGCCCAGCCTGGACCCGGATCGCAATCGGCGAGGCTTGCGTTCTCCTCCCCGCCACGTCTGTCCAGGCCAGCCAGACAGAGACGCCGTGTGACCGAGCCAGCCAGACCGGGCCAGCCAGAAAGAGACCCCATGTGACCGAGCCAGCCAGACCGGGCCAGCCAGAAAGAGACGCCGCGTGACCGAGCCAGCTAGACCGGGCCAGCCAGAAAGAGACGCCATGTGACCGAGCCAGCCAGACAGAGACGCCGTGTGACCGAGCCAGCCAGACCGGGCCAGCCAGACAGAGACGCCGTGTGACCGAGCCAGCCAGACCGGGCCAGCCAGAAAGGGACGCCATGTGACCGAGCCAGCCAGACCGGGCCAGCCAGAAAGAGACG